GAGCCTGTTGACATTTGCTACTTCAACCACCTGCCATACCCCCCTCTCAGGTCAACCTACATGTAATTCAGATGTCCTGCCACACCCCAACCACAGGAAGCTGCAGCTGCAATAAGGAGTTTACTGATTGATTTTGCTCCACACATTCAGGATCAATATTTTGACCTGTTCAAGTCAATCCTTTTCCATCCCTGTTTACATTAAATATGTGCCCTTTCCCAAGGGATACTAGCCCCAGTACAGAAAAAGTAAGCCTTCAGCGAGTTTATCTTCATCTTTAAATGCATTTGCATAGATAACACAGATTTAACTGGCTGTACACACGGGCTAAGCAATGACAGAGAGAAGCCATCAACAAGAATCCCCTTTGAAGCAACTTAGGGTTAAGATTTTTTAGTCTACATGAGATTTCAGTACTGAAGTGAGGCAGCAGAATCATATGGCCACACTTATTCCCTTTAAAGGTCTCTTATTCTAGTATTAACATTTAAATTGTCAAATGAAAAAACTCAAACCACCCACATCCAGTTCACAAATGAAAAAAATCATATGGGGGGCCCAAACCTCAGAGATGCTAGGGCCACGTTTTGCTAGTCTTTGGGTGGCAAAGCTGACCTTAAGTTAGCAGAACTGGCACTCTGGAGGTTTACTGCAGGCGGGAAGGGGATCGAATCTTCAACTGACAGTAGACTCCTATGACATCCGCCTTTTCAAGCCCACTGACCTCGGAGAGTTTTGAGAGGGGCATGTGAGCAAGCCACAGCATCTTTATGCCGCCGTGATCATCAGGTACCTTGATATCTTTGGCAGCTGGCTGAGATGAGCTTTAGGCCTGCTCCAACTTATGCCAGGACCCAGCCTGGCACAGTACCAGGAGGCTGCAAAGGCAGCCTTTGCCTAAATCACAGTACAGCTAAACCGCAACATCTGGCACACGATACAAGTTCAAAACATGAAAGCAGAGAGAAGACTAGCTTATTTTAGCCAGATATCTGCTGAAGCATGGATGCCTGCAACCCTTCCACAGGCAGGCCACGAAAGGGCAGTGAGTCCACAAAAAGCAAATCCAGCTATGGTATGGTTTTAAGTGCTCATGCTCCTGCCAGGACGGCCATGGTGCTAGGGCCATGTGGCAGTGCTCAATTACCCACAGAATTTGAATCAGCATCTGAAAGGAAAAACAGCACAGGGGAGCAAAAGATAGAGGTGAGAGAAAGGACATGGGAGGGCCGGGGGGAGGGAGAAGAGGAACGTCAATTTAAAGAAAACTTTGTAGAAGAGTGAATTCACTTGCATTTGATGTGTACCAAGTTGCAAAAGAATTATTCATAAGGGCTCACAACACGTTCTGCCACTGCTAACATGGCAAGCTAATAGGAGGAGTGCTGCTTTGATAGCTTCACGGCTGGCTCCCAGGGAGAAAGTTTGAGTGGTCCAGGCCTCAGACATCAAAAGCAGTTCAGATTTCATTTTCTGTACTGGGTGCTAGCACATCAAAAGCAGCAGCTAGAGTTGAAAAGTTCAGAACCATCAATTTACCATTTGTGAAACTGCTAGACATTGATGACTTGGGTAACACATTTACCTACCAGATGTACTCAAAATGCCTGCTGTAAACAGCAGGGAAGTATGTTTGCAAGCAGGGGAAGCATGATTCTCTCCAAGTCGAGGCTTCATGCAGTTCTACGTGTAGTGTCTCAAATAGTGCAGCTCAAACATGCTCCGCTTCCCAAGAACAAAATTTCCCTCCTGCCCAAACTGTCACTCAAGGCTGCAATTTTTGATACAAGCTCAAGCTCAACAGGATCCACCTTGTTCTGTACATGGTTGAAAGGCCTAAAATGATGAGCTGGGATATGGGAGTCAAGTTGGAGTCTTCTGTTTGCTCCATTTGAGCAGGGAAGACTTTCCAAATTGAATAATGCTGTATATCAGTGCTTCTCAAAGTGGTGGTCCGCGGACCGGCCATCAGTCGCTGGTTCGCAGCGAGTTGCCAGGAAAGAAAGAAATATATTTTCAGAAGTATAACATGGATATGCGATAGCCATAAATAGGGCACTGGTCCCTGGCCCACTGGAAAAAAAAATCGCCGGTCCGCCACATTAGATAGTTTGAGAAGCACTGCTGTAGATGACACTGCAAGCCTGAGAGATGTAGTTTGCAAACCCACAACTGCACTGGCTCTGCGTGGCTAGCAGGGGCGAATTGGAAACAGTCGTTTTGTGAGGAAAAAAAACAAGACAGGACTTGAAAGGAGTTCAGAGGGTTTTCCTGACCACAACCACGTCAGGATACCCCTGTTGCCATCTCTACATGCAAAACAAAAACCATGGGACTGTTCACACTGACCTGCAACTCTAGGATCTGATGCTGCAATCTAATAATTGTAAGCAGTAACAACCAAATAATTGAATAAATAAAATACATATCTGATGTGACTGCCAGCTCAGCAGGGCCTGCGTGGATCCATATTTGGATGGGAGCCCAGGGAAAACCCAGATGCTGAAGAAGCAGTATGTGCATGCTAGTACTTTCCCTCAAGTTAGTGCTAAATCAGTGTCTTGAAACAATGGGGTAGCTCTTTTTTAGAACAGGTATAATGTAAAGGTGCTGATTCTATGCCCTCTCCTCCCATTTCTCCTTGTGATTTCAACTGGAAGGGGAGCAGCATTCTTCACACCCCTTCTAGAAACAGTCGTGTCATAGGGATGACACAGAACGCACTGCAGAAACAGCTGCATTTCACTGAAGGGCGAGTGATCTCTTGAGAGAAGAGACTGAAAGCACTGGAGTAGCCAGGGGGGAGTGTTATGTAATTCATCCTCATACTATCAGGATATTGAGGCAGATCAGACTCAGGCTGCAGAATCTCTGGAGAGCCCAGCTGACAAGGACTCTCTGGGAGCCTGCGCCCCCATCTCAATCACCTGCTCGTACAGATGGGTATCCGTTTGCAGAAACAGAGCTGAATCAAAACTTACCGTCTGCCCAGTTGTCTACCTGCTGCGCTCTCCTCTCAGCCAGCATCCTGGTCCCCATGTTCCTCCGGCGCCTGGGCATGCCTTCGCCCCGCTCCTCGGCATGGGGCCGAGGCCTGGCCACTGCTGCTGCCACATCTCGCTGGTGTTCCTCCTCAGCTGAAAAAGGGAGAACAAGAGGTGTTACATGGCTGTGCTGTCGCCACTGCTTTGCTCATCATCTGCCTCCTTCTGCTACTGCAAGGTGGGGGCAGACTTGGGGAGGTCTGCACCAGGTATTTTCAGAGATAGGGAATGCCAGTCCACACCTGCTCCTTATCCCTGTATGGTAACACCTACTGTTTTGCAGACTTAGAGCAGGAGGATCTGTGCTCCAAGGCCACATCCAGATGACCACAGTTGTGTGGTATGTGGCGCTGCAGACCCATCTGCGATGCCACACACTGCACATTCTCCATGCTGCTACCTTGCAACATGGGTTTTTTCTTTTGACCCTGAGAGATCCCAGCATCAAAAAAACCCATGCTGAAAAAAAGCGGGGTGGTGTACATGGCAGCAGTACATGCTGCCCAAAACCAGAGCCTGGCCAGCCAGAGCCACCCTCCGGCTGCTGGCCATGCTTCCTGCTGTGACTGCAGTCCTAGGAGGCCCCCAGGTAAGGCTGCTGGGGCCAGCACCTGTGCTGGTCCCAGTTTCCCCAACCCCACCTGCCACATGTTAGAGCACACGTGGCATGGGCACTCCCGGGGGACAAGCAGCAGTGGCTCAAGGTGTGCTGCTGCTACTTGCCCCTGGGCAAACAAACGTCCATGCTTGTCTGGACGTGGCCCCTAGAGTACAAGTCAGGGGAACAGGATGAAAACAACATTAAAGCAAATTATAATCAAAGCAAAATGATTATTTTATGCACAAGTCAAGCCAATGCTGAGCATTTTGGGAACTTCCCATCTAATCCACCTGGATTTTTAAAGGTATCTAGCAGCCCTAGGAGGAAGAGAAGCCTTAGGTGATCTTCAACCCTTCTCCTGCCTTACTTGCAGACTTCCTCCTTGTCCTTGCTTTTTGTTACATTTATCTCACTCGCACCCGTCACGACTCACACCCAGCTCCACCTTGCACAAAGGGCTGGGCTGAAGTTAATTCCACACTTTGTTCTCACAAAATGAATTATTTCCCTGCTTAATCTTGCCTGCAAAGCTTATTCCACCCCTCCAGCTCCTGTCCCAGCTACATGCTGGTGGGTCCCATGGGTATCCCACTCCCTTGCGATAGGCCTATACCAAAGTACCACACTGAAATAGTTGATCTCCAACATGCCGCCCTACCCTGCACCTTTTATCTGCAAGCCCGTGGCCCTCTCTGGAAAATAAGTGGCATAACACTTGGTCTGTTCCAGGAAAAAAAAAGACAGCTGTGTATTCCTTGGGCTGAATTTTCCTTTATTCAGTCTAAAAGGTGAATTGAAAAGAAAAACCACTACCACTTGTAGCACAGATGATATCTTTTATTAGACCAAAAAGATTTTTGCAAAAAAAGGCTTTAATTATAAGCTTTCAGGCCTGGATACCTGACGCATGGAAGATATCGAATTTTAGCCAGTTTTTTAAAATGAAATCTTCATATCTTCCCCAAGCAGGAAGCAACTGTGACCACTTGAAACCTGAGATCCTGCTCCTCCCTTTGTTTCAAGGTCATCTGCACCATCACAGATCCTCACTGGAGGTGAGGGGCTTCATACCAGCTATGAACTGACTGCCCAGAGGAGTTTTCCATCTACTGATTACTCTGTGAAATCCTATGAAATATGAACTTGCATTTCTACCCCGGAGAACTCTGACAATCTTTTCTCCAATGCCTGATGAAGGGTGTTTGTGCCAGAAAGCTTGCAATTAACGGCATTTTTTTTGCAAAAATCTTGTTGGTATTAAAAGATATCACCTCTACTATGAGTCCTGATCGCCTTTTCCTCTAGACCAATACAGCTACAACCTGGATACCTAAAACACCACCATTACTTTCCTGCATCTAGTAAGATGGCCAGCACAGTCATTTCAGAGATAGCAGAAGGTGGGGCCCAGAAACTTTTTGCTTCCTTTTAGATAAATCAGATTTTTGGGGGGGTTTTTTGCTTCAGCAATTCAGAATGGGGTCTCCCTTCTCTGGATGGTTCAAACTGTGTGAGCACGCTCATGTTTTGGGGAGGGATGCGTGTATCACTGCACTTGTAACACAACCTGCTTGACAAATACAGACTGCATCCTGCATGCATGTACTGCTGCCATGTCAATCGGTATGGGGATACAAAGCTATTATCCCAAAACATATATGGATAGGCAGGGAGGGTGCTAGGGGAGCACAGTTAGGCAGAGGAACAAGCTGCCTGCATCACATTTCAAATGTGTATTCAATCATCTTCAGATTCACCTTATTCCTGTTTTACATTAAAAATATTACTGTTGGAGAGTGCTAGATGGAGAGAGATGGCCTCCCTTGTTCCCCACATCCCTCCTATCCCCTAGCTCTTCATTCCCAGTATCAGATTTATGCTTCTTGTTCTTCTTCCTTTCCAGGCCCTCCACGATTCCACCGTTAGTCACTCATGGGGTTGCATCCCTCGTCTCCAGACCTCTGCAGCTCTGGCAACACCACCTCTGATGTCTGCTTCTCCCACACAGTCGTTATGTACCATTCTCGGTGACGGAGGGCTCAATCCTGCAAATCGCAAAATGCCCAGGCCTTGTGTCGGCCCAGTATCTGATGCAATAAATTTTAATTACGTGAAGAGTCCTGTTGAAGTCTACTGGACTCGTACACTCAAAATTAAGTGAATGCTTAAGCACTTTGTTGGCTCAGTTCCTTGCAAGATCAAGTCCGGAGCATCTTCCATTCTGCTTCCTCCAAGCCATTGTCTTCACTTCCATCAAATCCTTCCAAATATGTTGCCTGCTAGTGGGAAACCCATTATAAGAGAACAACACTTACTGTGTCTCCCCTGTGGCAACCACTCATGCAGACACACTCAACCCAGATTAAATTAAGCTAAGTGAGATACCAAAAACAGTAGAGCCACCGCAACCCAGAGGTGAGGATGGGCTGCAAAACTCACCCAGGGGCCTGGGCAACTAGTAAACTTCACCCTGAGCAACCTGCTACTGCAGCTTCCCCATTACTACCTGGCTGGGATCATTTGAGCCTGGTTTTCTCTCCTGCCCAGGGCAGGGGGTTGGACTTGATGATCTACAAGGTCCCTTCCAACCCTACTTCTATGAATCTATGGATTTATTAGGAGCCCCTGAGCGAACAAGCTTTCAGCTAGCTTGGATATGCCTTGAGCACAACACGCTGTGCTATTTGTAAGGGCATCTCAGCATTCACGTGCTCTTGTTACCCCTTCAGGCTCCTACCTCAAAATGTTCCTGTCTGTTTGGTGCCCTTGTTCCCTGCAATGTGCCCACAGTTTAGGCTGAATGCTCTGGGAGCGGCAAAGGCTGCGCCTTTACACCTGCCATGTGCCCTCATGTGCTTTGACACGCAAGAGAATAGGAGTGAAAAGCGAAGACAGAAGAGCACATCATTTACCCAGGCAGTCAGTAATGGTCCTAGAGGTTGTGCGAAGGCATTTATATACAACATAGGAGCATGGTGTTTCTTAGCCTCTAAAGACACCCCACAGTCCCAACCTGGGTATCTGCCCATCTAAAAGATTAAACACCTTCCCTTGGTAACATCTACAAAGTCCCTGCCTGGCCATATCAAGAAGTGCTTGCTTATTTGGTATTCTCTTTTTTTCCATGAGCCCTGGAAAGGGGAGATTGTCGTTTCACATTTTGTGATAAAGGGATCTATTTATAAGTTGCATGCTCATTTCGAGCCAGGGCGCTCAACCCTCAGAAGGACAAATGTGTGAACTGAGTGACCACATTCTCTTTATTCAAATCTCCCTGCAAGACAGGGCTTTTCCCCAAAGCACTAACCTATTTACACAAACAAAAACCACCCGAATGTGGCTGACGCCTGCCAACTACATGAGGTAACCTTGCATTGCTGATTTATTCAGATGGGAACTGACTGAGCTTTATATTCTATATATTACCAAGCATGCTATAAACCATGCTAACCTAATGGTGCCTGTAGGCTCATGTAGGCCTCTAACTATTTTTGCTCCCCCAAGGCACCGTCTTGGTTACTGCTGGAGGAGGCAGACCAGACGGGGCAGATCAGTGCTCCAGGTGGTACCGAGCATACTCCTATCTATGCATCTTGCCAATACACGTGTATCAAAACCATCACCAGATTGAGAGTCAGGAACGAATTCTCCCATCTTGGTCACACTAGCCAGAATCTCGAAGGCTTTGGGGTCTTTTCCTATGGCATGTGGGGCATTCACCGGCAGGGATCACCTGGCCATATCTCAATTCGCTGTCCATGTCTAGCATTTGTGGTGTCTCGGTCGCTCTCCTTTTTCTCTGCTCGTGACAGCCAGCATAATCTAACTGAAGTCTTGCGACTAGACACAGGAGCAGCCGTGCCAGACTCAATGGTTAATGCCATACAGTAGGGCAATCTAAGTGATCGAATAGTTCCTGGTGGCCTTGAACTCTACAAAGCCCTCAACAAATTATAAACCACACATAACAAAGCCCACACTTACAAGACAAGGCCAAACAGATAATAAAAATTAAAAGCAAAAACAGGAAAGTGGAGATGGCTTGGAAGCACAAGTTGAATTAGATACCCCTCTTGCTGGGATCGTTTGACCCCAGCTAACTTCCTGCCCCTGGGGCAGGGGGCTGAACCCGATGATCTTGCGAGGTGAGGTCCCTTCCAGCCCCGATGTCTATGAAATCTATGACATTTTGTCAACACCTTTTTCTTATGATTCGGTATTTCTAGAGACAATGGACACATTTCAGGGGTGGACTGGATTTTCTTACTTATAAGATCAGCTTTACCTCCCAGTGGTGAAAACTGTCAGAATAGTGACACAGCTGGTACCTTAATGAGGCCTAAACAGCTCCAGCGTGTAAACTGCATTGCACATTACACTATTTATATAGCAATTTTTTCCACCTGGCTCTGCGGTGAACAGCAGCAGCTGCGAGTGCAGCACAGCACAACAGGAAAGAATACCACCTCTCCCTGATAACATAGGAGGA